GCCTACATCTGCTCCTCTTGTTGACCTTGTGTCAAGTAGGCTGCCTCTCCACTTTCTTCACATTGTGATGAAGTCGATCTGAATTTCAGTGTAGTGTGTCCTGGTGCCTGGTGAAATCCATGTCGCTCGCTTTGTGGATATCCTTGTGCTTGAACACACTGCCCCACTCCAATCACCAAATCGTTGAATGCACAGAATTCCACAAACAATTCTCCATTCTCGTTCATCACCTCATCGAGTGCTTCTCGACCCATGATGGATGAGTTCTCTTCCTGTGTTGTCTGCTCCCAGTGTGGCATTCATGTCGCCCCACCCATTAGAATTTTGATGTCATAGTCGCCATCTAAAGTGGGGTCTTGTCCAGTGTTGATTGCGGTTGTCTGTAGAATTCCTCCTTCTTCTCTTCATCTGCATTATTTGTAGATGCGTAGCGTTGCATTGTGTGATTGTGACTTTCCCTCCTTTTGAGCTGAACCTTGCTGTGATGATCCTGCAGGATGAGATTGGTTCCCACTGAATGAGGGCCTTCGATGCTGTTGGAGACATCATGATAGCCACTGCAAAACTCAATGTGCTTGTGGTTGTCGTCTGGGCAACATTATCGGAGTAGATTATTGATTCTCCAGTTAACAGTTTGGAGAGTCCACTTCCATTCCATCTGCTTTCGCATATTCCTAGCACTTCAATGCGATACCTTCTCGTCTTGGTTGCAATCTGGACTGCCATGCTAGGTTCAAACATTGTGTGGACATTCCATGTCCACATGTTTACTTTAGCTTTCATCGAGAGAAGAGAAGGCACTTCGGCCAATTGGCTTCCTGAAGGCCTTCGCCAATCGGCGTCATTTCGCCTCCCCGATTTGAGCGAGGAATAATTTCGTTTTTTATGTTTTATATTTTGTTTGTGCTTTGAAGCTTGTTCAGCTACCGGATTGGTTTTCCGGGGTAGGGTTGCTAGCCGTATGCCCAGCCTTCTCTCATCATCTAGGCTTGGGACCGGCTGGTAGTTAGTGAACTGGTTGAACAGGCGAGATGTCATGGCCGTGAGGATGGACTGCACGAGGGTCAAGAAGCTGGCAGATCTGCCTGGACTGCTCTGGATGGGGTCGAACTCCATATGTTGACTCAACTTGTGGGTGTTAACATCACTTAACGCGAGACCACTCGCGGGATTACTCCGAAAAGTGGTGTAAAGACAGCGAAGTAGAGGCGGCGGATACCTAGGCTGTATGAAAAACGTCCTTCGAACATCAAATGTCAGTGCAGTATGCGGTGTAGTCACATTTTATGGGAGGCCCCAACGTTGAGCGTGTTCTGCTTGCGAGAAATGACGTCAGTTTTCGTTCGTGCGGAAAACAAAACCTTCAGAGATTTCAGCAATAATAATTTGATGTGACGGACAAATCAAACCCTGAAAGCCTTGTTGAAATCATTTTTTGGGTCGAGTAGGTCAGATCATATATACCCCTGAGAGCCTTAATTATTATCGCCGCGTTCACATCACATTTCTGCATAAATCATTTTGATTTGCTGCATCTCTTGAACCCGCTACATCGTTTTGTTATGCAGTTCCTTAATGCGTACGCTTCTACTGAGGACGTCAATCTATGCGAGCCCTAATATTCTGAAGCGTACTTAAATTATTGTGGTCATTGGTAAGTACGTGTTACACATCATACCGTGGTTCGTGAACTTCTGCCCGGCCATCATCACTTTCATCCTCAGATTTATTACTAGATTTAGCCATGATTAAACTGGCTCACATGTGTTAAAAACAGCTGAAGTAAACTTCACCTGAAAACAACTGTACGAGAGAAAATTGGCTCCTGCCTATGAAATCTGATTCTAATTTGTCAAAATCTTTTCATTGAGAAAGGGACCATTGTTTTGATTGGTTTCTCACTTCATTTGCTAACCTGTTTCAAGGCCCTGATTTTACAATCCCTTTCCATTCTTTGTGGTAACTTTGTTTCTTCGTTAGAAGCACTTTCTCAACCAGTTGTACACATTCGTCTGCAATAAAAGAAATAAAAACAGAATACAACGTGATGCAAGAACTATTAACACACTTTCCTGAGTTTAGTGAAAATTCCCCGCTTGGAAAGAAAGGCTAAGGAAATGTACGAGCTATCGCAACACAATAAACCGTAAATAAAGCAATTATTTTATTTCGATTTAAGCCTTTTTGCGACCGGTGTACTCTGTGAACTGCTTACCTATCATTAAAGCTGCGGCAAGCGAAAGCTGTCTGCATCCCACCGATGGGTTCAACAATGCAACCGATCCAGGTGCCCATCAAGCTACATTCCATTCCAGTAATGTTGTATGATAAATTTGTGTCATGTTAAAAGCGTTCTACTATATTGACCGATACTAGACAGTTTCGAATTAAATCTGAATTTTGGTTTTAAGAACGGTTCATGGGTATATAGTAATCCTTTTCTAGTTGATTTCGCTGCTTGCCCAGTCCTCTCTTGAATAAGATAGTCAATGACGCAGATAACATTTCTTCTGGTAGCCATCTCTGAGAGTGAGGCACAGAACACAAAAACCAGCGCATTACATAGAAAAATTCATCCTCGGTTTTGGTACTTTTGTGCCGTTTTCCTTGATGTATTCCAGCATGTTGTGGAGGAAAACAGGAGATTGATGAAGTCCAAACCCATTTCATAAAGTCCTGTAAATCAAACACAAGTCTGTTCATCCCCAGCACGATAAATGCGAGAGATTAGGCTCCTTAAGGAGTGCTGCCTAATTCAAGCTAACTATTACAGGAATCAGACCATCTGCCATCCTCACCTTTCAAATAAGGGATTGCCACGTGTGAATACTTTGCTGTTTTGATACTAACCCAAACTGCCCATAAGGTGATGAACATATCTCCACTGATTCCATTAAAAGTCTGATATATTTCTCTGACTGTCCTAAGACTGCCGGCCGTGAACAAACTTTAGTGTGGCACGGTATTCAAGGCAACTTTACATGACTTCCGAACAATTATAGGTCGGTATTTTGAACATTGGAGTCCAACTAATATCATGATTGTTGCCATTAGCGTACTCTACATGCATTACTGCGCACTTACCTGCGATGATGGCCATCACTCACTCATCAGATCAGGGTAGTAACGTTTCTAGGTCTGCTTGAAGAGTACATCATTCCAGATTTTTTACAACGCAGTGTAAAAATTCATGGGAGACTTCGTGGTGCCAGGTAGTTCATTTACGCTCAGGAGAAACAGCAGGAGATCTAAGACTGCATTTTCTTTCATTTCAAACCGTGTAGACTTCCAAAGGAATAATTGGGAACTGATCCTAGCTCTCTGAGTCCCACTTATGAAAAGTCCCCTAGATCCATACAGGCAAGGTGCCAGCAGTTCTCAAATTTTTCACTTCCATCGGCAACCTATATTGAGGTACTGTTTTGATCTCTTTAAAAAAAGGATATAACAGTGGCATCCACAAACCTTTTACTATCCTTAGACTTTATCCAACTTTATCTAACTCTGGGGAATTCAATTAGTCAGGACAAACGTATGAAACTCATGCTGTCTATGCATCAGGTGGACCGTAGTGCACAAATTTCGTAATCGGTCACCCAGCTATGCGAGATGCTAGCTGTCTGAGCAACGCTTGGCGTAGTCCATTCGAATACACTGAGCTTCCCATATCCAGCATAGTTAATAACGCAAGTACATCACTGTATTTTATGTCCGCAGAGTTTATCCTGGTGGGTGGCAAAGTTTCTACTGCTTGATTCATGCCGACTGGAGATACCTGGATTAAGACCTCAACAAAATATCCGGCACTAGCCTCTGATTTTTCCTTGCCACTTTAAATTAACTGGTTAATTTCCGCTTCTCCAATTAAGGTAGGGACAAGATAGTACTTTTTCCTTGCAAAGTTCATATAAGATGTCATACCACAACCTGGATAAGACGCTTTCTGAAGATTTTTAGGAACCAGCAGACTGCTAACACACATCTACCCCGGGATATTTTACAACACTTATTCCCCCTGGAATCGCCAATTTTAGTGACAGGACCCGAACAAGTTGTTCCTAACGGCAGTAGACTGATTTTCGTGGCGTGTCCACAGTGGACAGTATTTTTGTTCCTTCGAAACTGTTCACAGAATGGAGGATTAGTCGCCCAGACGTTCGAGTCCCTCCAGGTTGACTGTCCGCTTCTCAGGCCTGGCTCTTGAACCAGCATCTGTTACGCTTGCTTTTTACAAACTGAGCTATCGGCTCAGCAAAAGCCGATTGCTGTGAATCCGAAGGTGATTGAAGCTTGATAACTTTCACCAAGGAGTGAGAAGGGCTGCATAATACTTACCCGTCTGCGTAGGATAACGCCAAGTAAAGAGCCGATGGAGCATGCACTGATGTGCTGCATAACAGTCAACAAAATCGACGCCTCTACTCATCATTATTGCTCTGTCCCAGTCAACTGATTGTGCTTTGAAATTTCATAGAGCTAGGTATATGTATTTACCTGTTCAGAGAGTCAGCTTGGTCGAGATGAAGTCTCTCGTCAAAATTCCTTGCTATGACGCCGTTCAGCCAAAATAATATCTTATCCCTTGCATCTCAGTCAGAAACCCAATATTTCACAAATCCCACTTCGGTGCGGTAACTTTACTATGACCCTTGAAGTTACTGTTCTTTAAGCAAAGAGTGATGCCACTACCCATGAGCGTCGGCCCTTTACTCCAAATCTTTGCGAATGTGCCGTATTGTTTCTGATCTTAAATAGAGCCATTTTTGTGAGAACAGTTGTGTCAGGGCTTGCAATACCTAGATTGGGAATATTCAGACTGCTGTTAAATATTTATCTATAGTATCCGTGACAAATTAAATTTGAAAATCATCATTTTCTACTTAGCTACTTATATAAAAATTCCGTTGTTTATCCGTCTTCCGAGTAATAAAAAGTTCTGTGACCTTGAGAAGCCAGTTGCATCGTTTGGTCTTTCCCATCGCGTGGTGTAATTTCCGAGTATGGCTGAGCATTCAGGTGACGAAGGTGATTGGGAAGATGGAGTCAAAAACAAGTACAAGCCACCTGAGAAGCGTACTTTAGAGGAACTTAAGAGTCTGGATAAGGAAGATGAAAGCTTGCAGAGGTACAAACAAGCTCTTTTGGGCTCTGCAGTTTCTGGTATCACTGCTCCATGTATGTTTGACCTTAACTACTTATTGCCAAACAGTCCCAGATAATCCTTCAAATGTGGTTGTTGAGAAGTTCTGTATACTTGTCGAAGGGCAGCCCGACATTGTGTTTAATTTACGAGGTTAGTCTTTTGCCATTGAGGTTTTTCAAAATTATATAGTGGTTATAACTGAACCTTTGACTGCTATCTAATTCCTTTGGATTTAAATTACTCGTTAGCGTTGTCTTCTGTCCAATTAAAAGTATTACGAATTTCAGACAACTTCCTTTCTTAAAGTTGAAACCGCAAACTCAGTTTGCATACTTTACTTAGATGCTTTTATTTTGACATTAAACCAAACTTACCTTGGTTTTCGTATATAGAAACTTCCATTGTGGTTATGGTAGTAGCCTATGTATGTTGCCGACGACGTCGGACCCTGCATTACTGAACCGAGTTGCCCACACTTCATACACAGATAGATCAAGGCAGAAGGTAACAATATTAAAAATATAGAAGTAAGAAGTAAGTCATAAGTAATGAAAAAGGTATAAAAGGAGGAACAATGGATAAACCCATGGGTCTCGGTTTGGTGACTAAGATGCAGATGATATGTGGACGCATCCGATTCACATCTATTCTAAGCCATATTGTTTACAGTTTCCAACCATTCGTTTTGATCACCTAAATTTTCCTACTCAGGTTTGGTTAACAGTCAGAGTATTTGCGGATTGATACCATGTTCTGTTTTGATCACTTCTCACCTCTAACCATCCTGAGGCTACTTCTGCCAACATCGTGCTGCAACTAGGTAGTGAGCAGTTATGCATATGTGACATGTCTCAGCTGTCTGAGTTGCTGAAGGTTCGCAACCTCCTCAGCTAGCTTAGCTACCACTTGGAACCGCCCAACTTTTACGAGTCAAGCGTGGCGGGACCACGACACGATCCATATCACGAAAGCAACAGTGGCTGGACACCCGAAGCCTTCTGGTACCACAAGTTACGACCATAATTCGCAACCATGTAGTATAACAGCGTGCTGCTGCGCTGTACACCCAACCCTTTATGGGTAGACGGATGTTATGCCAGTGCCACATAAATGAACATAGGTGAACCAAGTGGAATTAATGAAGTAGTCAATGCACTCGACCACTTTACTTCATATTGTTGGATGGAGCACTCAGGCAAACCAGTCATAAAGCACCAGTTTGCGTTCGGGTAGTGAGAAATACATCGTGAAAGTTCTGGAATTGCCACTCAGTATTCAGAAGACTCTTCATCCCGTCAACTTCTGCCCTTAATAAAACCATCACCGTCGTCTATTGAGGATTTTCTTGTGACAAGGTCAGTCTCCAAAGTCAAACGAGGGGATGAGGGGCTAGTATTAACACGTTTATGACAGCTAAGTAGGAATAGGAGTAACGGACATCACTCGCCGTGCATTACTCATCCGATACGTTGCCATAGGTTCTAACATGCATACAGGTATTCGAATGCAGAACTTTCATTTGGATGATGCGCTTACTGATATCTTTCAGTGAAAAACAGTGCTATGGTACCTCTTGATCGAGTCGAATCTCGTCTTCAAATCAAGGAATACTATTAGCGTCGGACACTTAATTATGCCTTTGTAGAAGTAATGTGTTTAGATTAAGGCCTACATTTCTCGTGTCAGTTAAGCTTTTGTGAAAATACTGGAAATTCATCTTAAATGAGGCAGTTACAATTTCCAAGTATAACATTTTCACCTTGCCTTTTCCAAATATTCGTGACTTTATCACACTAGTTTATTTTACTGAGTCAGATTTCACTTCTTGAGGTGATAGGAAATGGAAATAGAACTATAGAATTTTGCCTTCCTTAAGAGATTACTAAATGAGTTCGAACGCACCAATATGAAGCTTATTTCTTTCTAGTTCTTAATGACAAAGTGGGGGGATTTACAGTAGACATTGTGTCTTAACTATATTTAGGAACTTGTCTATTTTCGTGGCAGCTTTTTCTACTTAGAAAAAAGTATGGCAAAGAGATTCATCCATATCACTAAAAAACACTGGGTCACCTGAATTGTGATATGGACGTAAATAAGCCTTCAAGTAGTTTCCTATCTTCTCCAACCTACTTTTATAAACCCCTGTAGAGTTATTTAGGAATCAAAACATGAAACAGGCTCGTGAAATTTGATATCAACCAAAAATCTGTACAACACTCGGTAATTAAGTCACAAGCAACAAATAAGACCTCTTTTCGGCACCGACTTTGAAAAAGGGTCTTGATCTCTTTTGTTTATTTCTTTCTAAATCAGTGTGTTATGTGAACTTATTTGGAGTTAAATGGTGTGGTTTGTGAAGTTGATTAAGTTTCAGTGTACTATCCAGTGGCAAAGCGTACTCCAGCGTGAACTTGTTTATGATTTTATCCCTAATGAGAGATATAACCACATGAAAAATCTTTCAGAATTGGCAATTAGTCCACAAAGATCAAAGTGGAATAATTTCCTTCAATCTAATTTTAACTATTATCATCAAAATTGTGGAAAAAAACCCTATTTATGATCAGCGAAATCCTTTCAGTAATTCAAAGCTTTGCAAAACAGCCTCACAGTTTTAACTAAGTTGACTACTTTAAGGTCCTGTGGTGACCCCTCAAAGACTGCAAAGTTCTGTAATTCCACCAAGACATATCCCAGCCAATTCACATCAAATTTGAATATCAGAATATTCAGGTACTTATACACTACATTGATCTATTTTGAATCTCTTTGCTAGCCCGCATTAATATGCTAAAGAGATAGACAAACTTTTCATACAAGTGCATCGATTGAAGTCGCCACACTTTACACCAGCATGTACGCAACATGGGGTTAGAGAAAGCGATATCAGAGTGAACAAAAGTGTATCAGAGGAAAAATGACTTTGGAATCGAAATCTCGGAAGATGTCAAAAGGTGAATATATCTACGTGATTTCGTAGATTTTCAACCACTTCATGAAGCCTCCAGTTATTGATTCTTGTTGTCCTGAGAACTTCAACCAGTCTACCCTAACCCTACACTAATCAGACTAACAGTCCAAGACTTTATTGGCAGGTATCACGTCTTGGTCTAACCCTGACCCTTCTTTTAACCTAACCCCTACCTAACTGGCATTGCATGTTGAGATGGGTGATAACTGGGCATGTACACCACATGTCCAAGCTACCTCACTTGGTCAAGGGTCACAACCTCATCGACTAACTTAGCTTCCTTGTCCAGTAGACTTCACCTAACTTCAGTGTTACTCACACGGGGATTCCAGCATAAGCAAGTAATGCCATGAAGACACTTGTAGTCAGAAACCTGTAATCCCTTTATATCTACTTTCAACGGTAATCTTAACGGTATAATAGAAGAAAGCGAATTGCAGCTCAACATACTCGTCCTTTAATATATAGTCGAATCTCATTGACATTATAAAAAAGTTCCCAAATTCCTTACAAGCCGCGTACGTCCGATATGAAGTTTCATCAGCAACCAACTAATTCTGGCTGGTGTAACTTCCTAAGTGAGCGAAGTGGTAAGCACATTCAATCATTTCACTCCCTATCTCTTAACTAGGAGTAGCTGCAGATCAGTCTTGCAACATCATCTTAAACTTAACTGGTGTAAAACACATACTAAACGCAAATTTATGCTCAAGGCTTTCAGAACATTGCACTTTATTAACGTCGCCATCTAATAGGACAAAGTCGTCTGTATACTCCAAGTTAACCAAGTTTTATGCTTGAAGTAAATCGATTCCTGCAGTCAGAGTCACCTAGAGTTATATCCGTCAGCATGTTTAAAAAAAGTTAAACAAGAGCGGTGACACCGAGCATCCCTGGTAGACACCACTTGCTCGGTGTTCTTTTCAGTCAGATGGAGCTGTGGTTCAGTGGTTTATGGAGATGACTAACACCCAGTGGGTCGCGGGTCCGAGCCCCGCTCCACCTACCAAGGTTTGAGAAGCCAGTCAGTAAGTATCATTAGCTCTCGCACAATAGATGTGGTTCATTGCCTACTGCACGAATGCGCGCAAGCGTGATGCGTGTATTTTGATTTTCCATCCAGTCAGTCACTGACACAACACTTCTTGGCCGAACGAGTTGAGTGCTGCTTTCAGGTCAAGAAATGCGACAGGTATCGGACTCCGGTAGCTATACATATGTTCCAAAAATTTGTCAAAGACTGGTTGACTGGCAAAATCAACGTAGAACATCGCACACAGGCGGATCGGCCTAAGTTGCCACACTTTGAAGTAGTACACAAAGAACAGGTGGGTAAAAAAGTAGTGATATCAAGGAAGACAAAGTAGCGTAGTAGAATAAACAACCTGAAGATAATGGTTAGTGCGAAAATGCTAAGGAGTAAATACATCACCACTTTGACCGATTTTCAGCCATTATACCGAGAGTCCTCAACCACTGACTCCTTTTGTCCCAAGGACCCCAACCAGGCAGTCTGCATCTCCTCACACGGCTCAGACAAACAGGGACTTCATCGTCTGGAGCCACATCTTGGTCTGGCTACCCTGAACCTTCCAACCTAGTTCAACTTCTAGCATCACACATAGATGTATTCAGTGGCTCTGAATGTGTAGTATATCTCCAAGCCATCTCAGCCGTCAAAGGTTGAAATTCTAATTCGTCCACCTTCGCCCAGGTATGATACCTATCCAGTTTTCTCGAGTTTATTGTCGAGCTCTGGTTAGGTGTCGTATAGCTATGGACTTGAAGATCTTGGACGGTGTTATTCAATCTGACCACTTATGGTTGCCACAAGAAGACTTCTTTTTTATGAACTGATCAGTGATGTAGAACAGTCTGGTGGGACTACGTCTGATTCCCATACACCACCTAGTTACTATCTTCGTTACTCTACTCAGTAATTTCCTACCTCGATCCTTAAAGCTTCTGCTGACAAACCATTAGGTTCTGCCAATTCGCATCTTTTCAGGCTAGAAATAGTCTACTCAATTCAAGGAGAGTTTGAGGACTGATGTTTACTTACATTTCAGGTTCTGGATGGATCCTGAGCAACTGAAGCGTTGGTGTAGTTCGGTTAAATTGTTATTCAGAGCATTCCACCCAACGTTCAAGCTGCCTGTCACGAGGGTCCATCATTTTTACTGATAATCTCACTAACCATTGCTTTCTTTTTGCTAGTATTCCTAATAAGCCTGGATGACTGCATAATATTGCCTAGCGCTGACGCTTTTTTCATCTCTTTCACCTTTGTCAATCACTACTGTATTGGGTCATTGAGAGTAGTTTGATTTCGCTCCTCACTGTGATCACAGCCAGCTGGAATGAGTCTTCTATCATCGATTCATTTGGACGAGATTGTAGAAATCCACTAGGTCTTACTAAGTTTTGGAGGTTTCCCTCTCATCCTCTGACTGTACAGGAATTGTCCAAATCACAGAAAGATCTTTGGTAGATCTAGAATCCGCGGATGATAGTCCCGTTAGTTGAAGACAGTGAGAAGATGCAGTCTTCTGGAAACCTTGAGTGGCAATTTGAGAACGTTTGGGATGCGTTTCTTGCTACCCAAATACAAATTATTGCTTCAGGACTGGTCTTTAATGGTGCCCTAGCTAACAATGGAGAGTGAATTAGTTGGGTGCGTTGAACACTTCATTTGTCTAGGAAGTTAGATCAGCCCTGGTGGTGGTCCAGTGACCGACGAGTTTTCTAGACGGCTACAAAAGGCTCAGTTGGCTTCCGCCAACCTACGCCATTTGTGGCACGCTCGTGATATGCGATTGCCTACTAAGTATCGTATACTACTCTGTTCTCTTGTGTTCTAATATGCTGTTGTGAAACGTGGCCGATAAGTATTAGAGGACATGAAAAGGCTTCAGATATTTGACCACCGTTGCCTTCGTAGCAAAGGCCATGTGTCCTGGCGTAGATGTGTGCACACAGTTTTAATCGCTATACTGAATTCACCATGTTCGCACTCCTTCCTATCTTTCCCTGCTTCTGATCAATTTTTTCTTTCTTCATCTCCCATCTTATTGCTTTGTTGTTTGATGTGTTGATAAAGTGTGGCAACTGAAACCACTTCTCAGCAAATGCTGAGTAGCACTGTGATTGATCCAAGGCCAGCTAAACGTCATTCTTAGTCTTTAAAAACCATGCGGTCATCATGTTGAAGCCTTCAACGTCGAATTTGACCTGTCTTTTGGGACACTAAACCACCACCAGGGCTGATCTAACTTCCTAGACAAGTGAAGTGTTCAACGCACCCAACTAATTCACTCTCCATTGTTAGCTAGGGCACCATTAAAGACCAGTCCTGAAGCAATAATTTGTATTTGGGTAGCAAGAAACGCATCCCAAACGTTCTCAAATTGCTACTCAAAGTGTCCAGAAGACTCTTCATCTTCTCATTGTCTTCAACTAACAGGATAACGTCATCGTGGAGCTAATTGGTTTGGGGAGATGACTTTCAACAGGTGGTTCATGGACTCGAACCCTGCTCCACCTACCGAGATTGGGGAATCCGGTTAGTATCATCAGCCCTCACACACTAGGTATGTCTACTACACGAATGTGCATAAGGCTGCTGAATGAATTTCAATTTTCATTCGACTACCATCTGCATATTCTAGATCTACCATGGATTCTCCTCCGATTATCTGGGGAGCCAGATGACGAGAGTGACAGCTTCATATAAATAGCTCTGATAAAATTGAATGAGAGGGGCATCCTTGGCGAACACCACTCGATGCACTTGGATCGTTAATAGTGACTGCAGGGTGAGGTTGAGGAAGTTAAAGTATGCGTAATATACATATCTAGAAGTGAGAACAAGGGCGGTGACGAAGGTAGGTTATGGTTAGTTGGGTTTCGCATACTGCTGAAAACGCGCTGGCGATTGGTATTTTTCGGTTTCTCACACCGAGAAAGTTGATTATGTGAGACACATGAAAGAGAAAATGGAATAAAACTGCAAACAAAGGGTGCCATACATTTGCGATTTGATCCGTAGGTATAGTCGCCTTTTTATCCGACTCTAAAATCACTTGACGTATATGTGACTGATTGACTATTTTACTTAAGCTGTGTTTTATTCGGACTTGGAATTTGTGTTACTAGTATTCAGTAGGTGGAACTGTCGACAGCACAGTTTTTCTTTTCGAATCCACAACCAGTCATATTTTGAATATCGTGTACAAATTTTCTCGTCTGTCCAATAAGTTTGATTTCATATCTAAAGTCTTCTATCATTTAAAACTATGTTCACGGGCTTTGCATTACTGCTTCTTTGTTTGTTCTCTAAGTATTGGTAGGTGCGTCTGTTGTCACTTGCACAAGTTCAAATCGTTTGTGCATTTCAAGAATTTGTTAATCCGTCATAAGCTTCACAAAGACATTTGTTTGAATGCAAGGTTAAACGTCTTGTAACCCTCATAACAGTTATCTACACGCCTTTTTATTTAGTAGAACTGTGGCCAGTGTGTTCCATGTCTTACTTTTGTACTGAATAAACTCCAGCTTTACTGTCAATAAGACTGGAACTGTAGTTCACTAGTTTAAGTTATTCCAAATATCGTTAACGAGTTTACATTTGCTCCAACTACTCAGACTTCCATAATTGAGGAGTAACATCAGTCCCTTGCGCAATAGGTGTGCGTCATATTGGTGACATGTAACATGTCATCTGTTAGTATCCAAGACATCAAGTTGAATTAGTAGTTGACGATTTTGTACAAGGTTCCTCAGCGCTAACCCTGATATCATATGCACACCTTATTTCTCTTATTATTGAACTCACACTAAGGATATCTATTTGCTTGGTCCCATTATACTTCGTTTAGTTCCTGTTAATGTTTCTATTGTCGACTTCCGTTCATTGTGATGTTGTGAAGTGTGTTAAGTTGAATTGGTATTCTGATGTGACACTTTCCTCATTCCAACCCATCCCTTAAAATCAAGTTAGGTAGGTTCTGTGTTCTTTATGGGTCGTAGTTTTGTTATGACAGGTTAAGGAATTTTTTGTTTCTTTTTACGCTACTCTGTTGATAGCAAAAAGGTCACAGAAACTCAATTTCTAATTTTATTCCCTTTTATATTTTAGATGACCTTTCTGCCCTCAAATCCAAATCAATTCAAATTGTAGAAGGTTCCAGTTACCGCATTCAGATTGAATATTATGTGCAGCGAGATATTGTTTGTGGACTTCGTTTCAAACAATGGACAAGTAGAGGTCCTATTCGAGGTAAATAACATATCTTGAATTCGTATTCTTTGTGTTTGTATGCGTAATACTGATTAATTAAATCACTAGGCCATTCTGTTCCGTCTACTTTTCACTTTCCGTTTAACAGTCTTGGAAGATGATTAGTTTCAAGGTAGTTTCCGTCATCAATCGATAACAACCGACTAAACAGGGACCTGTTATCAGTGGTTTCATCTTAACGTACTGTTTCTTAGCTGCATCCGACCCTGGTGAAATTGAATCTTTTTTTTCTAGTTTCATGGTGAAAATGCTACCAACCAGGTATTGACGCTTAATTCTTGTCGTTCCCAAACACCGTATCTATTAATTGGCAAATACTTATTGTTCAGTTGGTTGCATATGCCATAACTTTTGATTGGAATTTGCACAGTATAGTAACATATGGTTAGTTTGAGAAATGTGATGCATTTGCGCAATAAAGTCCGAATAATTTGATCACAAATTTACTTATCTAAACATTTCATACTCAGGATAAAAGTAGACTGAGGCCAGAGAACTAATTTCAGGTAATAGACATGAAAATAAAGAAAGGATACTGCATCGTAAACTGCTACATTACATACACGATTACGTTTCAGCACGTTGGCCTTCATCATCATCATCATCTATCGACATAGGATCAGACATTACTGCGTAACGGTCCGAGTTGCCACACTTCACATCAGTACATCAAATAAAAAGGCAGTGAAGTGCAAGGTTAAGATAAGAAAATTCAGTCAAAAGAAATATAAAGTACGAAAAGAGAGAAAGGAAGAGTGAGAAAATGGTGAGATTCAGTATAGCGTCGTTAAGATGAGGATAATGTGTGTATACATCTGCACCACTGACATCATTTCTGAGCCATATCACTTAGTCTCCAACCCTGGTTTCTCCTGTCCAACAGACCCAAACCCGATAGTCCACATCACCACACATGGCTCAAACCAACAGTCAAAGACTTCATACATTGATGCCATGTTTTAGTCTGGCCACCCGGAGCCTTTCTCCAACCTGAACCTACTTCGGCCAACATTGTGTGACGAGGTAGATGGCAACTAAGCATACGTAACACGTGTCCTAACCATGTCAGTCAATGAGGGTTCATAACTGTATCAACTGACTTACCTCTCCTCCCTAAAACTCTACGCCTGGTTTCTGCGTTACTCACATGGTGATACCACGGAATACGGTCTATGCTACGAAGGGCAACAGTGGTCAAACACTTGAAGCTTTCTCATGTCTTCCACCTTCAACGGCCATGTTTCACAGGCATAGAGTAGAACAGAACGGACTGCTGTGCAGTACACTCGACCCTTAATACACAATCAGATATCACGACGGCGCCATAGTTGGCGTAAGTTAGCAAAAGCCGACCGAGTCTTTTGTATCTGTGCAGAAAATTTATCGACCACTGAACTAGCCACCAGGGCTGATCCTACTTTCCAGGTAAGTCAAATGGTCAGTACACTCAATTGCTTCTCTCTCTATGGTTAGACGTTGCACCGTTGAAGACCAATCCTAGAGCCACAATTTGCATTTGGGTGGCGAAAAACCCATCCCAAAAATTCTCAAATTGCCTCTCAAAGTGTTCAGATGACTGCATCTTGTCAGCGTCTCCACCTTACAGGACTATGTCATCTGCATATTCTAGGTCTAACGAAAATTCTCCTGTGATTAGGTCAACCTTTATGTAATCAGGTGACTAGAGAGAGACCTCCATAAGAATATCTGTGATAAAATTGAATAAGAATGGAGAGAGTGGGCAGCCTTGAGGGACACCACTGGGCGAGTGCAGCTCCCCGGATATCTCGCCGTAGGCCCTAACACGCCCATAAGTGTTCGAGTAGAGAGCCTTCAATAAGGTAATGTACTTACTCGGCACGCCTTTCAGTGAGAGACATTACCATGAGACTTCTCGATCAACAGAGTCGAATGCCGCCACCTTCAGGTCGAGAAATGCAACCAGTGTCAGGTGCCGGTAAATTTGTCTATGTTCCAAAACCTGGCGCAGTGTGAATACTTGGTCGATACATCCGTCGAAGAATCATAGAACCCAGAATCTTAGACACTATGTTCTTCAGGCTGATTCCTCTATGGATATCATAAGAGGACTTCTCGTCTTTCTTGAATACTGAGATTATTGGTGATTGAGACCAGTCGGAGGGGATCGTATTTGATTCCCATATACTAGTTAACAGTTCCGTTAACCTAACTAAGAGCACCTTACCACCATTCCTGTATACCTCAGGTGTTAGTCCATCTGGTTCTGCCGCCCCTCCTCGTTTCAAGTTACCTATGGCTTTCTTAACTTCTGCTAGTGTTGGGGGCCTATCTCAATGTTCCATTCAGGACTCGACTGGATAGCGGGCAACGCAATGGTAGCTGGAGGCCAGTTGAACTTTTCCTCAAAGTGTTCTCCTTATCGTTCCAGTCGTCTCCTGCGAGTGAATCGAAGACCCATTCTTCTCCACTATAGTCTCACTAATCTTTGTTGACCTTTTCCCCGCAGTTTCCTTAATAAGTCTAAACAACTGTCTACTGTTACCAATCGGCGTTGCCTTTCGCATCTCTTTAGCCTTCGCTGCCCACCACTGTTCGTGGTCGTTAGGTAGACTTTTTCTCAATCTACTTTTAAGTTGCGCTCGCTCTTCATTGTACTCGGGGCCTGCAGGGATGCGTTTACGTGCATCCATTAGTTTGGCAGAAGCTGCTGATATCCACAGGCTTTTTTAGCCACTCCTTCGCAGTCGGCTACGGTCTTCAACGCTGCTTTTGCAGCAGACTGAAGATGACACCGAGGTTCTTCTGGATGAATGATAGTCTTCCGTTGCGATAAATGCCTAGCCAATTTTCCACTGAAAGCGGCTTTGACGTTTTCGTTGTCGAGCTGCATTCGTAATGCTTTTGTTGTCAAATTTTTCCTACGTTCATTCAGATGAAGGCATATACGCTCTCGGACCAATGTGTAGTCGCTATCTAAAGACGTACTCCAGAAGGAGCGGCAGTCTTCCGCTGATCCTCTCCAGCGACGACTAATAGTAATGTGGTTTATGTGTCCATCGCTGAGTTCAGCTCGGTGTGAATATGAGGGAAGGCAGATGTCATCATCTAATGATGAACACCCAGAAATGTTTGATGGAATTGTCTCCAAACAGCCTTTAAACTATAATACGAAAGCTAGTTTCGCAAGATGACTTTACTCACAGCATAGAAATCCTTAGTTTCCCCATAAAGTACATGATACAATCTGATCATTCTTGAAACATACTGACCGTGCTGAGACGATGAGGAGCACATAGGGAGACCCTTGGTGTTCTCAGGTTATAGAGACTAGTTTTCCAATGTACACGACGATTATATTTAGTTATCATCAGATAGAAGTCTTATTGCCATTGTCATGTGATTTTGAGTCGTATCATTAGTCACTAAATTTGCCTGTAATAGACCTGGAGTCCATTGGATTAGACCCCTGGTGAGTCATGCCTTCGAACTTAACTCCGTCCACCGAGGTTTGAATAGCCAAATGGTGTCGTTAGCCATGTCATAATAAATGCAACGTTGTCTAGTGTAGGAAATGGCACATGGTTGTTTATTTCTTTTTCCATTTTGTCTATTGTTCCATTTGTCTTAGTATGCAGCCACCCCAGCAACCACTGAGATAACCGATTAGGATTCGGAATTTTATGAAATACATTTACAGCTGAAATAAAGAAACCTGATTAGTCGTTGCTGAGGTGTCCTTTAAAGCCAATCATGGTTTCTGAATAAGTGAGTTAAACCCATCAGTTGTCGTCTATTTTAGAATCATAGTTAACTAAATAAAGGCTCAAATAAACGAAAATATTCACTGGTCGGTAACTTGCTGTATCAAAACCTGCAGATATATGTTATGTATCCCGAGAGGATATTATACGCACGTTTGATTCACAGTTAACTTCGTATGCAGGATCCGCCGACTGCAACCCGGACGAAACAGAGAAGCCTGAACTGGATGAGAGAGTTTATTCCTCCGAGGGAAATAGTCAATTCACCCAAAAGCACGTGTGTATATATATGCATGACGCATAACCTTGTCCAGAATTTGAAACATTAACATAATAAAAGTAAGCACTAACCAATCAGCGAATTACCTCGAAAATGGGGTTGCAGGAGTAATGAGTTACTGGTTATGACTTAAAAATGGCGCGAAAACGATAATTTAAGAATGCTTAGATTAATAAATATTGTTTTATGCAAATCTAGGCCCTTCAAAAAACTAGGAATTATTTGCAAGAGTGTGAGGACGTAAGGTAAATTCCTACTACTTTTACACTTTTTACCACAGTTTATGCATTCCGTTAATTAGACATGCTTAAAGCTATGCAGTTGTCTATTTTAATGAGTAGTTCTGAATATTTTTTAATCTAGTAATCTAAGTTAGAAAATTGGTCAGCAACATTGTGAGCTACATAACCATGGTGATCTGGGCACGTTTCTACTTATTTGTGCGGCACCGCTTGTTGTTTAGCGTCAGGATTTTCATCATTGCACTTGCTTTCACTAATCAGCTACCATTGTTCTTTACACTCATCTGTTTAATTCGATGAAAAACACTAATGATTAGATTATCTCTGACAGAACGATCTACGCACTTCATATACTTATATGAGGCTGTTTTAAAGTAACACTCACCTTTTCCTCGATCACTACACAGAATTATGCATTGAAACTACGAAAGTTCTTTTTAAATCTTGTGTTGTTATTTTCCTGTGTTACCGCGTTGCACAAAACAAGCTACTTCCACCTGCTCCTACTCATCTGAATGTGGAGTTGTGACCCACTGGTCTAGGCAGTTGACTTTTAACCGAATGGGCTACGGGTTCGAACAGCGCTCCGCCTACCCAGGTCTGAGCAGTCAGGTAGTATCTGAGTAGTCCTCATACAATAGGTGTGGCTCATTACCTACGGCACTAATTTGCTCAAGTTTACTGAGAGCATTTCGTTTCGTCTTTTTCTACTCATCTGACTTCATTAAGCCTGTTTCTGATTTGTCTCAAAATCACAGTCTCACGTGAAAACAATTGAGGTTAGGTAGTTATCAAATGTTTTTAGTAAAAAAAGGTGATAATAATATTTGTCACACTACTTTACCTCCTTTCTTTTTAGTGTTTACTTTCTCTGCCTTCGTTTTCTGTTGTCAGTTTTTTCCTCCTCAGGTAACCATTTTCGTTCATATTCAGTCCAAAGGCAGTTGATTGTTCTAGTATTCTGTTTTTCATGACAGAGGTATGCAGTTTAACTATGCACCAAAAGCAAACACACAAAATATAACTCACCCGAGGTGTGTATACGCATTGATAAGAAGAAAGTAGATGTGATCGCATTGCGGATGAAAGAAACACATTGTTGTTTTGTTTACTCGTAGATAAAGCTAACATTGTGTATAAAGATATCAAAACTGACTTCGATTATGCGGATTATATACAATAAATTGATGGTTGCATACATTTGTATAATCTCTTAGGCATTATTTTAACGCAACCTCGGTATACTGTGATACAGATGCCAAGAAGTGCTGCGATATACCCCTAATTTTGCTCGACATTTTCCTGTAACCGTAAAATAACTTTATTATTACTATCTTCGCACCGTTTTAGCGCCGTTGCTAGCTTTTGTGTTTCTCATTGCTTCTAAAGGTTGAACTTTCATCGACTATTAACTCTTTCAACTTATCAATAAATTTGGCATCGTCAAGGTCGTTTAGAATGTATATATTTAGCACCGCTCTCAATTATTTTGACTGTTGTTGAAACAGTGAAAGCTCTCTGTCAACAACCCGTCTTCTCTTGTTATTTTCGCTTGCCGGTTGTATTGTTGTTGTGGTGGTTAGCGTTCTGATTAGCTATTGGAGTAGACTCTTTGGGGGTTAGTTTCGTGTTGCTTTTAGACTGCCAGATTTCACTTACTAGTCATTGCAGACTTGAGTGTAGGGCAATTTAGGCTGAGAGACTAGGTGTATCGACTCAACTATGGGAAATTGAGTATACACGCTTTTGTATTCGGCCTTGTATCTGTACTCAACTGTGATTTGCTGCTAACAAAGGTGTAGAATGCGTCGTTAATCGTCAGTCACTTGAAAGCATCCGCAGGTGTGTGATAGGGTCGTCGAGTGAGGGAGTTGTGAAGGTTAAGACTAGGGAGATAAAGGAGTTAGTGCGCGTAAGCACCAAATAAAATGTTTGGTTTACTTTTCTAACCGTGGAATAAGCCTTAGAGAGGAGGGGGTCAAATGAAGTCAAGAAACCTATTTGCCAAATTATTCTATTTGGGGTTCAGGTGATATCGAAAACTGTATTTTCCAACTGTGGCGTATACAAAGGAGTAGGAATTGATTACTGAGGAAAACAAAAAAAATCCATGCTTATTATAAATATGATGAAACGAAACTTATACCCAACCTTCCATTAGCTTTCAATGTTTGTGAACCGGAAATCATCTCACCGTAAAATTGTGTGTATGTGTATGCAATACTATGTTTATCTTTGTGGGAACCTCCAAAAGTAGTATTGATGATTCGACTCTTGTGTTTTATTTGTTCACAGTTGACAAAGTATCCGTTATGATTGGAAGTTATGGTCCTCAAACTCAACCGTATGTGTGGACATCTGAACCTGAGGAAGCGCCTAAAGGCACTTTATCATGTGGTACCTACAACATTAAAAGTCAGTTCACTGATGATGATAAAACAAACTACGTCACGTGGGAATGGTCTATCAAAGTGGTCAAATAGATTATAAACTATTGACGTGTTTTTTTGTATGTGTGTGTATGTCTCGTCAGCATTGCACACTGTTATTATATCTTCAGATTTCTCATTTGTTTTCACACTTGATTCCGTGTCATGGTGTTTCTTTATGCGTGGATTGTGTGTATGTATGTGAGTATATGCATGCACATCCCTTTGTGTGTTTGCTTAAAACAAATTGTGCTCTTGACATTTCCCAGTTATAATCAGCATCTTTTATTGTTGTCACTACTACTCACTGCGTACTCTTTTATTTTTATGCTGTGTTGTATTTTATACTGTCATCTGAGCACTTTATGTTTGATTTTTTCCGCCTCTCTCTCTCTCTCTCTCTCTCTGCTTTCTCTATCGCCAGAAAAAGTTATCTCTTAACTTACTTCTACCCTGATATTGGTGTTACCGATTGTTCTCACTTTTTATTGTTATTATACACTTAGCTTAATTTTCAATTGAAAATTCCCGCCTTAAAAACAAAGACATCCTTTCATGTTATTTTACATAACACTGTTTGTAATAATGTGAAATACGGAAACATCGACAATAAAGGTGTGCATGTATGTATGTGTTTGGGCATGCCTATCTGTCTGCGAACATGCTCATAACGTGCTACTTGTACTCTAAAACTTTTATTCCTATATTCTTCATGACCATTTGTTTGCTTACCTGGCGGTATGTATATGTACATATAAAGCATGCACAGACGTAGAGCATTCGTGTAGTCATTGGGTGTATACGCGTTTACAATTAGAGCGATTCTCTCAGAAACGTTAACTACGATTATGTTCTCACACTTCTTTACCACCAGTCAATGTTGCCTTGCTTTCTTTTATATAATAAAGGACTATGTAACACCATACTGGTTATTTTATTGTTAGTAGCAATATACTTTTAGAAGGCTACATCAGTTGTGTAAGCCTTTTGGAAGCATTATTGTGCTCGGCTTCGAGACCTGGATAGTTCGCATCGTTGATGCTTTCTCATCATCAAACTCAGAATATTGTCCTTCTTAGCTTTCATTTCGAGGAGCTAATTCACTGGGTCGAAATTCAACAATTCCCACTTTCTGTCAATCCTTGGTATCCACAATGAACCGCTGATTACATTAATGGTGGCTACCTGTCAGAAATTCAGGAGCTCTGTTGTCACAGTTGTCATATAATACTTTATTTGCAGTGATTTCAGTTGCACGCCCAGGTCAAACAGAAGTACTTTCTGATGAACTCCAACATTCTACACAAACTGCCGAGTACAACAGTCACGTTCAGTTAATTACTATTTCAATCCTAATGTGGACTGGATATGCAAAGTTCCTTCATCCAGACAGGAGTTGGTATTAGACAGTATATATATATATATATATATATATATATATATATATATATATATATATATATATATATATACTCAGCGTCCAATGTTTGCGATACTGTTCAGTCAAATGTTGGTCATAGTTCATATAAGACTTTTGTTTAAATGGTAAATTGATCTGCCACTGAAATGCTCTGTTACATCCGAAAATGAACCCATTCTTCCTCTAAAATTACTCTCATACAGCCACAAGTTCATAGCCTTTGCCAGGAAGTCCTACACCACATTCAGGTGATAGTGGTGTTTCCAAAGCAGTAAGAGAGGGAAAGTATGTTTGTTGTAGTATGTGCAACGAAGGGAGTTGGAAAACCTTATTTCCAAACCAATCATGCACATGAGTTTCTGGAACTGGAAAGGAGGAGTGGCGTAAAACTGACTTTGAATATCAGTAACCGTTGGAATGCAGCTCCTGACATAGCTACCTTAATGACTTCGTATTCCTTTGCTCGTGCTTTACTTGCTTACGCGTAATTGCACCGAGGACAGTTCTAACTTTTCGACCAAACATGATATCTGCAGGAGATCACTAACTCAGGGCTAAAGGATTTGGTTTCGTATCAAGAGTATATTTCTTTCGTAGGCACTTTGGTCATTGAGGACATCAGCGAACAACATCTTCAATACGTGCGTCAATGTTGGGCCAGTGCAAATAACTGCGAGCAGTCGATTTCATCCTACCGATACCAAGATAAGATGAATGAAGTTGCCTGAGAACACAACTGCGGAGATAAGGAGGAACCACCACCTAATATGCAAACGTTATGCAGTCGATAACAGTAGATAAGGACTGACATCATTGATAAAACTACTTCAGATCACGGGGACCCACATGCGGGTCCCAACCGCATCGGATAAATTTTGGAACCTGATGCAAAAACTGGTTCACTTAAAGTGTTGTTAGCAACATGAACTTCAGTCACGTAGTAGTTGGGTTGCGTTCGCTAGAGGTGTACTTACATCATCTGTGACACAGAGTGATGCATGCTTCAGAAGTAAGTGTTTCGGTACAGACTTATCAGATATATGGGACGAAAATACATGTGAGGATGACGTCGTATGAGGACTTGTTGAATTCATTGGAACATTTAAAATATCCAGTTTGCGTATCTACTTCAAACGAAGCAAGTATAAATGATGACGTTTCGTAAGATAACATATATCATTGGATTTAGGTTCTCCAATGAGTTTCGGCACATTTGAAGTATTTCCAGCAGTGTTCAGTTGGCTGGATTTGTGGGAACCCAAGCTTGCACCACATACTGTGTGGAATCCAGGTTATATCAGATGCTATATCGAGCTGAAGACGAATAGATTTACCACTAACAGATGGGTTAACATCCTTTTTTGCACCCAAAATCAACTTTGAAGGACGCGAAAATGCTCTGAACTTGACTGGACGAGTTGGGTTTGAAAACCAACCTTTATTCTTCATACGAGTATTTTTCTTTGGAGCACAGTAACCTTTATGCCCAAAACAATGGCATTCTCGACCTTTGTGTGTTTTGATTGGGTAGGATTTACCAAAATGCCATGAACCATGATATCAACAAACTGAAGGATGTTCGCCTGATGAGTGACTGACGTTTTGTGCTTTTGGCTGAAGACTAAGGAGATTGTATTGCAATAACTGCAACCAATTCAGGAGGCTGATATTTATACTCTACCGTAGCCGTGCGATGCTACAAGTTAATTAAGCGCTGACATTCTGTTGTCACTATCTACAAAGTGATTTTAGGATCTTGTTCGACGCGTGATAAGATAGTGATTCAAACATCAGTGTTCTTCAGACCATAAATGAATGTTAGATATTTAAACTGGTCGGCTATCTTTTCGTCGGCCTTGGATCGTTCACATTCACGATTAACTTTACCATCATAGGTCATATAATCTTCAGAAGGTAATTTGGATTTTTGAAAGCATTGACATCGAATATTATATGGAGAGGATTGTTCATCAAAAGTTTGACAGTTCCATCAAATAACAATTCACGAGAATTCTTCGGCAGAATAAAATTGATTATATTTATTGTATTGGATGGTACCAAGTTTTCATAACAATAATCGAACTTTTGCTGCATCGTCAACCACGGGGCATTCAGTATGAAACACAGCTTCATAACGATTAACCTATGAATCAGATATTGGATCGTAATTAAACTCACTACCAGGATTATAAATGCTTTCATATTTATCTGGATGAGATGCTGACGGCGACCGGATTAACAACTTCCTGTGTTAGATTGATATAAGTGTGAAACTTGGGCACTGTGGTCGATTGTAGTTCCATTTTAGTCTGTTCATTCGAAATATCACACAGTGAAACAGTAGCATTTACTGGATAACCTTTCGGACACAATTTATTGTCCACATTCATATCAGGTAACTCCACAGCTTCAAGACAGACTTTGTATATTCCTAGTTTTCTCTCCTTCTCTGTGATGACAAGGCTAGTAGAATTATCCATATATCTGGGACAGGTGCAGCATCATTTCGATTGCATGTGTTTGGTGTTGATTTGATAAAGAAAGATTCGGTTATCAATCTCTCCCTCCCTCCACCCAATTAAGTTAGTTTTCAACACTGTCACCCTATCTCACCCTACTGTGTGATTGTGTGTCATCGCATGCAGAGCTATAGCTGAGTTTTTCTCTAGATTTCTTATCTTATTAGGATCTACTGATCTTGATTTAGCTAAGTTTTTGTGCTCTGTTATTCTAATCGACCCTGGTCGACTGCTTTGACCTATATACTTGACCTCGCAATCATTGCAAGGGATCTGGTAAAATAATCTGGTTTACCAGATCTAAATCAAGATCAGTAGATCCTAATAAGATAAGAAATCTAGAGAAAAACTCAGCTATAGCTCTGCATGCGATGACACACAATCACACAGTAGGGTGAGATAGGGTGACAATGTTGAAAACTAACTTAATTGGGTGGAGGGAGGGAGAGATTGATAACCGAATCTTTCTTTATCAAATCAACACCAAACACATGCAATCGAAATGATGCTGCACCTGTCCCAGATATATGGATAATTCTACTAGCCTTGTCATCACAGAGAAGGAGAGAAAACTAGGAATATACAAAGTCTGTCTTGAAGCTGTGGAGTTACCTGATATGAATGTGGACAATAAATTGTGTCCGAAAGGTTATCCAGTAAATGCTACTGTTTCACTGTGTGATATTTCGAATGAATAGACTAAAATGGAATTCCTGTTTTAGAGTTTCGACCAACTTCATTTGAGATGCTTCATTTTGAGCTTGTTGAAGTTGGTGAAATAAAACCAACACTGTTGCCACTTGAAGTGGTCGAGTGAACAATAGTAAATAAGTGAACGATATTTAACCTGATGAGACACTTGAACTGGATACGAATAGTGATTTCTCTTTCAGACCTGGTACTTCACTAAACCGCAAAAACCGAAAGACAAAGATCGGCCAGTGACTGTAAGGAGGACTCTTTATTCCAAGGAAATACATCATTTATATGCAGTTTTCATGAACCTATAAAACCATTGGGTCAAAAGTCAAACAACCCATTTTGGTTGGTCAACTGTAAGGAAAATTGTACAATCAAGATTAAAATTACAATCCAAAACTTGTACATTGGCGACT